CCGTACCTGACACTGTCACATGACTATATCAGGCATTATCATTAAAGGTAAATACAGTTGAGTTGCAGATGTAAAATAATATCCGCAAATGTGATGTCAGGGTCGCCCTACATCTCTCATCTGGCAGCAATTAAAAGCTAAAAGCCATTTTTCCATGCATGATTCTCCTTGATATTTTATAAATTTTCATTTCAATACTGAAGAATTGAGGCAGACATCCCCGTAAACCGTAAATGCATTTTTTATATAGTAGATGCTTTTATCCAAAGCAACGTACATTTGAGAAAGTAGGGTCAGCTAGTGCCTGGAGCTATTGGGGTTAAGGGATTCACTTAAGAGCGAAAACATTTCTCCAACCACAGGATTTCAAGCAGTGCCGTTCTGATTGTTGGCACAGAGGCCTAACCTAATGAGCCACACCCCACACCCATAAACAACAAGGCCTCCTAGTAAACGAAACAAGCATGCCTTATAAAGATGATAAAAAAGTGAGGCTCTAAATACCCAGGACTAAACCTCCCTCCGTTACACTTCCCCGTAAAGGCATTTATCTTTAGACACTGTCAAGCTGACCCTTGATAAGTCAAGCTCAATGGACTGCATCCCACCCAATGAGTCAGTCTGCTCTCCAGTCACAATAGCTTAATGAAGTCCTAAGAACATAAAATATTTATACGTACACAAAACACTGTGAGTCAGTTCAGTGCAGTTAAATTTACCTGGTATCTAGCCTTAACAAATAGCACCAAGAAGGCCCACAAGCCAAGTCTGACCTTTTTTTGTTGAGCATGCTTGCCAGGCTTTGGACAGCACATCACAAACATTTTGGCCTAAGTGTTAGTAAGCATGCTGGCTGGCTGGAGTGTGTTGAGCAGTCTTGAGGACAGACTGCCTCCGTTGTAGCCGTGGGATTTCATTGACCTCCACCTCCCCCAGAAGCAGAGAGTCATACAGCAGGACAGCAGTGTTAACGGGGGAGGTGTGACTGTCATCCAGAACATGCGAGGAAGGCTGAGCAAAGGCCCTGCTGAGACATGTTCAGTGGAACTGAGACCTTCTACTGAGAGCTTCCCCTAGACAGCAGACTTGCCAGTCTCTTCACATCATTTATAATTTAGTCAAGAAACGTATGGTTAAAAAAAAAAATACAAAGAAAGATTTAACTGCCAGAAAACAATAATCTGCATAACTCTACATATATGAAAAGTAATAAACAATTATTAAAAACAAACATTTTAATATCCAGTACATTCAAATTTTTAAAGTCTGCTATGTTTATGGAGATAGATATTACATGCCAAGGACAGATAGATAAATCTCAGAATGAGGTCACTATCAGTACACAAAAGGAATGCCTGTCTGGATTCAGTCAGCTGTAAGCTCTGTTATTGCTCTAATCCAATCACCTTCTGTCTTATGCTAATTCATTTGTATACATACTAAAAATAACAATTGAAAGTTAACTTAAGATAAAACATTCCCTGCCCTGATTGTTTATTACACTGTTTAATACATTGTTCATAGGAACCCAATCAATTAGCGTGAAGTGTTTTATTCCAAGGTAATTATTATATTAAAATTACTAACCAATTTTATATATTTATATACTATATACATTTTTGACAGAAGCAAATTATCAGACAATTAGGAATTTACATAAAGCTGTCTGATTTTAAAACAGTAGTATATGTATTTTCATTAATATTCCCACTATTCTCCAGTTGTTTTCATTTAATATGAAATAAAATTCATTGAAAACATATCAGGAAAAAACATAAACCTAATGTAGTTTACATTCTTACTTTGCTGAGAGAAAAAAGGTATACTGCAATACAAAGTATATAAAAGGTATATTTTACACATTGTACATTTTGCAACATCCATATTTCCATTGAGATTTACAAAAAAAGAGACTGAAAATTGGTAGATTGTTTAATTAAATTAACACTAAGTACTAATTATTTTCCCAACTGGCATATTCTTGCTCCTAGAATTCGACATTTTCAATGATATTCTTCCACTTAGGTGACACTGAAATATGTTAGTGTTATCAGGGCATGGACGCACAAGTGTGGGTCCATCTGTTCCTCTTCAGAAATAGCTCCTCTTGTCAGGCCATACAAAGGAATGGTTGGTGGAAACTCCAGGGTTGAGGTCTCAAGGGGGAGAGAGACTCCAGAAGGTAGAAAATAGACATGCGTCCATCTGTCCAAAAGACTCCTTCACCAGAGATCATGTGACCAAGGTCTGACTTTAAATTCTTGGATCTTTTCCTGAGTTTGTTCTTCCTGCTTGTGCAGGCACCACTGCACAACCTAACTCACCCAACTCTGATCTGATTGGACCTACTGAGGCACGAAGATCACAATGTCAGACTCAGAGGAAATTGTAGACGAATATGAAGAAGAGGAGGAGGCCCAGGAGGAAATAGAGGAAGACAATCAGGTGGAGGAGGAAGAGTGGGATGAGGAACCAGAGGAAGTCACGGAGGACAGCCAAGCGGTAGCAGATGAGGAAGGGGAGGAAGAGGAGGAAGAGGATGAGGGAATGCGAGAGGAAGACACAAAACCAAAGCCCAAGCCGTATATGTCTAGTATCGTACCCCCCAAACTTCCGGATGGTGAGAAGCTGGACTTCGACGACCTCCATCGCAAACGTCTGGAGAAGGACTTCAACGAGCTACAGAGCCTCATAGAGATGCACTTCCAGAGTCGGCAGAAGGAGGAGGAGGAGCTCGTGGCCCTGCGGAGCAGGATTGAGCGCCGGCGCGCCGACCGTGCTGAGCAGCACCGTGTCCGGACAGAGAGGGAGAAAGAGAGGCAGGCGAGGTTGGCTGAAGAGAAGCAGCGCCGGGAGGAGGAGGCGGCCAAACTCCGGGCCGAGGAGGAAGCCAAGAAGAAAAAGGTGTTCTCCAACAAGGCCTTTGGCGGCTATCTGCAGAAGGTGGAGAAGAAGACTGGCAAGAAACTAACAGAAAGGGAGAAAAAGACCAAGGTCCTGATGGAGAGACGGAAGCCTCTGAATATTGACCATCTCAATCAGGAGAAGCTGGCTGAGAAGGTGATGGACCTCTGGCAATGGATGCACCAACTGCATGCCGAGAAGTTTGATCTGTTGGAGACGATTAAGAGGCAGAAGTATGATATTCATGTCCTTCGGAACCGTGTTAGCGACCACCAAAGATTCTCAAAGACCACCAAGGGCTCCCGTGCTGCCAAAGGTAAATCAGGCTCTTGGAAGTGACTGCTGAACTTTGGTTCTCCTGCAGAACAAATCAGACTTCACAAAGGGCTACTTTTACAATATTTGAAAAGACCTCCAGGCTGATCAGTGAAGAACCAGTTCATCCACATATAGGAAAAGGTGCACATTAAACATTTTTTTAGAAATGTTTCAAAACAGTTTTCTAGAGATGTTTTTCACAGAAGTGTTGATATGAGAATGTTCCAGGTGCGATTTGCTAATGAGCCTGTACCAATGTAATTAAAAGTAAACACGTTAACCTTTCAAGCAGAGTTTTTAACAAGTATCAAGAACATCAGGCCCTTTTGAGTTTTATTACCCAGCATATGTTTAATATATTGCCTTTGCTGTGGAAATTACTATTTAAAGCCTTTTGGAGGATGGAAATGAGTAAAATGCAATTATCAACCACTGCTTGTGCCTTTCCTTCAGTTCTGTAAGGTGTTATTTGAGCATTACGTTATGTTTAGGTTCAATTGAAGTATGCACAGAATTAAATGCATTTTTTGTTGTCTCTGTGTATGGCACACACATTTTGAGCTGATGGGAAAAAAAACCTCTGCACCCATTCCTTTTAACTCAGTGATGAAATGCAGAATCTGTGGTTCATGAACAGTTTGAGTGAGGACTTGTTATCGATTCTTCGGGATGGTCTTTGAATCATGACCTTGTTAACAGAGAGGAGAAGCCCATCTTTGTTTCTTAATACCAGGGGTGAAAGATATGCTGCCATTAGCCAATCAAGCGTGAGGCTCAAGACTCTTAGATCTGTGGGAGATCACCTCAGTCCGTATTGACCCTCCCCCATGGACAGAAATAGGCCTGGTTACGCTGAAGCGCTACATACAGTCAGTGATTTCTGGGGGAAACACCTCCCAGCCTCAGTGCCTGAAGGAGAAACTATACATTTCCCCTAATCGCAAAGACGATCTAGTTATATTATGTCAAAGCTAGTCAGATTACAGTTTATTTCTATTACAATGCAACATCCTAAGTTTTGAAGAGTAGAGATCTTAATTTTAAGGATTTACGCAAAGTAAACCTTAGTCACAAGTGTGCTGTCAGGTACATAATTTGGATGTTTTCTAAGCTCTCCTGTGCTTTCCTAATAAGGGGGGTGTATTTGAGAATACCAATCTCATTACATCTGAATTAGACAACTTATGCTAGCAAGGAAATCACACAGAGCTATTTAAAAAAAATTAAAAAACAGAAATTCAAATTTCATTAAGACAGTGTCGCTCCAAGGAATCAGACAGGGGACATTTTTGTGATTTATTTCTAAATAAGTCCCCCCGCTCCCATTTTACGATAGACTACAAACATACATTTACAGCTTCCGTTCTTTAGCTGATACTTTTCATAGATTTATAATGATTTATTTTTTATTCAGCCATGTGACAGTACAGCAGTGAAGAATTCACCGGAAATCGTGTCCTTCGTTAAACTCTGTTCCTTTCTGAAGAAATACTAACAGCAGGACGTGGTGTCCTTTAAGCAGAAACCATAACAGTGAACAGGAACTACATTTACATTTTATTCATTTGACACATGCTTTTACCAAAGACTTTTTTGAGAGAGCAGGGTCATGCCGGGAGCAACTGGGGATTGAACCTGCGACCTTCCAAGCGGAGGCAAAGTGCCCACACCCATGGAGTCACACCCCACCCCCATGGGGGAAAAATACCTCCCCACAAGGTAGTACAACATGAAGAGCTGCAATTCAGATTAAATGAATGAGAGAAGAAGAAAAAAAATCACATGATTATCAAGCAGACCTTTACTGGAATCAATGACAAGAAATGTTTATTATACCAATAGGGGGAAAAAACTAATAGGATATAACAGTCACACTATGAAACATTTACTTGATATTAAACATAGAATACTGTATTTTAACATGGCAGCAACAATGGCACACAAAACAAGAAACAAAGGAATAAAAATATCAGCAGGAGAGATCATTTTGTTTGCATCTAATAATTTCTCATTGGGGGACAATGAGCCAGAGGTTAAATCCTCTCGGAGAGCAAAACAAACCCCCAAGTCTTTAACAATCTCTTTGCTGTATGAGGAAAGAAGTCATGCTGAGATGAGAAGCACTGAGACACCGAGGAAAACGGAATATTATTCAAGACATCGTCCTCTTGTGATGGATCCCCCCAGAGAACGATTCCTCATGGATCATATGCATCAAATTCATGAATAAAATCAATGTTGCGACATGAGTAAATACGAAGTGGGGAAAACCTCAAATAAAATCTAAATTCCACACGTGAGAGCACGCAAACACTCGTATATAGTGTCAAGTCACAACCTTACACCTGAATTTCATAACAGTGTTGAAAAATACAATAGGTTCATTTCGGCTGTTCAGTTTATCACAGTTTGGCACTCAAGGCAATGGGCGGATCTGTCATTCACTTTCATCACAACACATTTAACAGAACAAGATAGAAATGCTGTTTAATCTTATACATTTCTTGGTCTTGCAGGGTAATCAGTTTTGTCCTAAACTGGTAAGGCATAAACACATTGACTGGGTCCATGGAGACATCAGTCTTCAGGGATTGGCATTAGATTGTCGAGTCCCGAATTCTTCGTTCCCCTCTGCCCCGCCCCAGCAACAAATCATGCTCAGTGCCAACCAATCACATGTCCATCAGCATTACAGCCAACAGACAACTGGAAGACACACTAAGTGTAAGGGTGATAATTCCTATCTCACCAAAAACAGCCCTTTCCTCCTTTCCAGCCACTAAAAAATAACTCCCACATATAAATCGCTTGAAATGCTAGCTGGAAATCTGTCCGTACTGAACTTCCCTTGCAGCATCATGCTGGTGCTCTGACTGGAGCCCCAACTGGTGACAAAACACAAACCAGAAGTCAGTGAGATACGAGGCAGCTGACCCAGAGGAGAAATGGAGGTCCAGAGAGGCAGACTGCCTCCGGCGACACTGTTTTCCAATAGCCGTCCACTCACTGCTGTGCATTAAAACTCACAAAGAGCAACCAGCCAGGAGAAGTCCCCCCACCCCACCCCTCCCAGGCTGAATGGCTCAGTCGGACTTGTCCTTTTTCTTGGCGCCCCCCAGTGGAACCTTGCTCACGACCATAGAGCCCACAGCAGAAACCCCACCCGCCACTGCACACACACCCCCCTTCACCAGCCCTACCCCTGCGGCTGGCACTGCAACCACGGAGGTGACAGCCGTCTTGGTTATACCCAGACTCTTGCCCCCGATCCAGGTGACCCCGCCCACCGTGGCCCCCACAGCACCCTTGGTGACGCTGAAGAGGCCGCCTGCCACCCTGGAGAACATGCCGGGTTGGTCCTTATTAGTATCTGGAAGACAAAGGTGGAAATGGAGAAAAAAGAAAAATGCTTAAGGACAAACGTGAAAATGTATGCATGTGAAAATGCATGATACAGAATAACAGTAATAATTACAATTACACAATTATAGAATCCAAGCCCTAAGAGACACCTATTTTATTTCAGCTAATATATAAACTGCATAATTAAACTTGATTGGACACAAAAATTACAAACAAGGCAGTCCTTTCCTGGGTTATATATGCTTTCAAAACAAAACAGACAATTACACAGACAATTTATCATTTACATTACAGACTGAGAATTAAACGTCAGTTCCATTCGGTCCTGAATGAGGACTTCAAAAACTAGATTTTACACTTTAAGCCTCATAAGTAAGAAATATATTCACATATTTTATCAATTATATCATTAGAAAAATTCTAATACAATATCACACTGTGGTCATAATTCAATCAAAGTCCTAATTAGGTTTAATTGCTTGGAACAAATCTGACCCGGGAAGAAAATCATCAAAATAAATGTGAAGAGAGAGATTCTGATGATGCCACCATGCCCCTCCCCCAAACGAAGCCACAGACACGGTAATCACTGCTGCAGACTCCACTGCATGTGCGTATTGTGCTGTGAGAGCAAAAGAGCGGCAGGGAGGTTCTGCCGGAACAGAAAGAGTGGAGCAGCAAGAACAAAGGACTCATTAGCCTGTTTATTTTCTGAAGTAGAGGAGGAAAAAACTAGGCCAAAAAGAGACTCGACAAACAGCCCAATTGGGAGCATTCCATACATTTTGAGAAGTGTACAGGCATCCATTATCCCAGTGGCCCATTGCACCATCATGCTTTGTAACGGTTATCATAACCGGTGAGCCACTGGTCATCAACCTAATGCTTTGGGGACAGCACTTTTAAAAACTCGGCTGCTAATGACAAAATTGCTTCATTAATCTCCAAGGTAATTCTATATAATTGTAAAAGTTACAAAAATGTTAATGGCAACACTTCTATTAACATTGGGGGGGGGACACTGCAATTTAAATGGTCCACATTCCCCGCAGACACTGAACTGGCCATAAAGGACAATAGAATACCCCCAACCCAGCAATATAATTAGAAAAAAAAACAGATGGATGGATTAAAAAAAAAAAAAAAAAAAGACTGACTTTCCATGTCTAAGACTTTGTTTTGTTCACAATAATGTCCATGGCTGCACAGTGCAGTCATCAGTTACAAAGTGCAGTGTATCTGGGTCTCAGCCATTTGGATCTGCAGGTTCAGCAACAGAACACACCTTGGAGTCACTGCTTTCAACAGCAACCTGGAAATGCAACAATCTCCCCAAGCATTATATTACGTATATTGCCCAAAGGGGAAAATAAAATGCAGAAACCACTGACGACTGGAAAGTGACAGAGCAGAATCTAAGTAAACAGCCCCCCCGTGTGGTGTAACATGGGACGTGCTTCATAACCCAGCTCTGCTTCCTGGTCTGTCAGACATGTGATGTCAGTATTTTGGTTAAATCTCTTGAATCAAACTGCTTGACTGACAGATTTGTGCGTTTACAGAAATAATTAGAACATTAGAACTAGAACATTAACCAAGACCACAAAAATATGACGGACACCTGAGGAAAGTTGTGGTGTCAAAACGCTATTCTGGATTTAAATACCCACTGAGATTGAAAGCGTGTCATTCACTCCACAAACATGCACTGAAATACCCTTTTCACTCAGTCATTACCTATACAGATACATATACACATAAATCAACAGCAAGGGCAGCGTGCATTCTGGGTTTAAAAACAATATAACAGTATGTGCAGCACATTTGTCGGAAGGAGTTTACCTAAACTCAGGCTTTAAATTGGACAGAAAGTGTTTGCTGAATGCTTAACATTATAGAAAAATTACATGTTGTTCCTGATCACAAGACAAACCTGAACTTTAGTTGTGAATCAGTGATTAGAGAATTGTGTAAAGATACAACTTCCAAAATGCCAAAAATTTATCAGAAATAGTGCCGTGTTGAGTCGCCGACGTTGATTATTTGAATGGGAAAAATGAACAAGTATAAAGTGAAATGCATTCCTCAATAATAATGGAGGGGGTGTCTGTACTCAGACTCGTCATGTAGGGCATAATTGAATAGGAAAAAACCTAGAGGCAAATCCCACCATTTCTCCTTTGTTGAGTTTGTTCTTCTATTGGTTTCTTTCACAACAATGACAACCCGTGACCGGTTCTCATGGCTCTGCTCCACAAAGGCAAGGCTGAGGGTGGCCTGTGCCCAGGCACTGATTAAACTGTAATGTCACATAGTCAACAAGTGACAAAGCAGCACGATTACAATGACTCTATCAAATCTCCCTTGACTAATAAGTTTAAAATCACAATTATTATAAACAATTCTCAATTTTTCCCCACTCAATATAATATAATCCTCCTCCTAGTAAAGTAAGAAATCCAAGAGTGTTTTGTCAAGTACTTCAGTGTCCTCTAGTGGGCAGCAGCTGTCACTTTAATTTCTGGGGGTCACTTTTATTATGAAGTAGCTGAAGACTAATATCAAGCAATTGAGCTTACAGTCGTTAGGAATAGCCTAGCTCACCATCTCTGATCATCCCAAGGAGGCACTCAACCCACAACCTGGGCAATGTATCACTTCTTTATTAGTACAATATCATGCCTACCATGTTCACTATCCACATCCATCCATTTTTCAACCACTTACCCTGGTCAAGATAAGCTGGGGGGGGGGGACCTAAAGCCAATTTCATGTAGCAGAGAGCACTATGCAGGAGTATACTGTGGGCATAGTGTGCATGCATTCATACACACTCAGCAGGAAGCCAGAACACATGGAAAAAAAACTCCACACGCATAAAACATACAAACTACCTACAAAAAAATGGATTCCAACCCTCAGCCCCGGTGGTGTAAGAGAACAGTGCTACTCACTGTGCCAGCATACAAACCAAATTAGCACTCGTGGGAGTTTTACACAAACAAAAATGTTCTGAAGGCAGAATGAAAAATGACTGGTTCAGAGAGATAGCCAATTAGATTCTAGAGGAGGTGGGTGCAAGTAACTAGAGGAATTGGGACCAAGACATCTGATTGGTTGATCCCACCTCCTCTAGGTGCTTTAACTCACCTCTTCACCTCACAAGCTAAATAGTTCTCTCTCTGAACCAATCATGTTTCGCTCTGCCCTCTGAGAAAGTAAAACTCCCAAGAGCCAAAGTAGCGTGCCACAAAAATGTGTTCCATTCGACAGTTACCAAAATTATGTCACAGATGACGACAACATGTGTGCTGAAGCACCTTGATACGAATCTGAGGGGCTCACAGTAATATCCCGGTCCAAGCAAAGGTTGCCATACAGATTACTTATGCAGTAAGTAGGCCCCAAGTGCACTAACCGGACAGAACCGGTTCTTCTACAGAGGATTGCCAAGTGTCAGCCATGTGCCTAGAGGGTAGGGGGTGGAAGAGAGTGAATAGCGCTCTCCTCTGGGCATGCCACATCATTCAGCAAAGCCTGCGCTCCAAGAAAAAGAAGAAAGGGTAGCTGACGACACCTGCGTGAGAAGGACGGGACAAGAAATGTGGAAAATATAAGACGCAGTGCCCCAGAGCTAAGAGGAGACATCGCTTCATAGTCAAGACAAATAATGAAAGGACAGATGGAGTGCATCAACACAGTCACCCATGGTCACCAATTCTCCTTTCCGACAAAGCCGCCATTCACACACGGGGTCCGAATACCCTTTCATAGCTGTACATCGAACAATTACCTTCAGGAGGTTTATCTTGAAGGTACAGAGGCACTTCGTCTTGCCCGTCGTCTGCCCGACTCATCTTCTCCCTGAAGAAAAAGCTACGTTAATATTTCAAGGGTTATCGAGCGGAAAAAAACTTTCTCCAGACAATGTCGGCTCATTATTTCCCATCACAGAACACTTTTGCAAGGCCACCGGATTCTGGAACATCCACAAACTCATTTTAACTGTGAATGTCCGGGATGCTTCTCTTCCACTGAAAACCCTATAAGCACCTCCCACCATCAGCAATAGTAATCTAAGACACAAAACCACCAGGCACCTGCAGCTGTAGGCTACATCTGCAACAGCTTTAATGTAACTGTGAAGTGTAAAAGATATCCATTTCCTTCTAAGAAGTGTACCCCCTAGGTTTACTTGCAGCTCCCGCCCCAAGTTTGCATGTGCCTGGATGAGATGTAGGGACAGGAACCTGCAGAACAGACTACAGTGCAAACAGAGTTGCAGGTCGACGCCCAAACATTTGCAAATCCTGTCAGCAAATGACTACCATCTGCGCGCAATTGCAGGAGGGGGTATGACGGAATCAGGCTTTTGACAAAAGTGTGGAGTATATTTTTTCTTTTGAAACATACGTGTATATACACACACATACATACACACCCAAAGTTTTCAAAGTGGATAGCAGCCACCACGGAGAAACAATAGTGATGAAGCCTGGATTATTCAATCTAAACCGCTTTCACGTAAGTTACCAGTTATTTGCACTTGACAGGCAAGGAATATTTGCAGAAATACATCTAGCACCTTACAAGAGAGAGCAAACATCCTTTCACACAAGCATTTTCATAAATTATCATAAACAGTGACATATAGCACCAACCAATGCAGTGAATAATCTCCCACATCTGTCAACCAAAACATTACACGCACAAGTGGTGTTTATTGTATATATTGAGCTTAATAAAATACTCCTAACTCGCACTAAATTGCTAATTAGTACGATGGAAAGTGGATCGTCTCTCGTATAACGCTGTGATTATAACAAGACAGGGAAAGCAGTGTGATTTGGTGAGCTGTAGACAGACGGCAAACGCGCATTCAAATTTTGGGTAGATTTTGGCAGAAATGACTCACATGAAATACGAGAGTGTCAATTCTGTCCTTTCTATCGCTTCACTGAACTTAAAAGGTGTCCAAATATATTCACTGGGAGTACTATCATAATTATTAATCATTTTAAGTTAAAATCACTTGCAACCATGTCATTTCGAATATCAATTATAAGGAAATGCAGCCAAGCACTGGCCCTGACTGCTGTAATTAATATGCAGCAAAGTAGATGTTAACTACGTCTAGGGCCATCAATTACACACCGTACAAAGGTGCTAGGTATTCCGAGTCGGCCTGCTCATTGCATTGCATGTGTACAGTCCAAAAATAAACAAGTATTTTAAACAGAAAATGCATGAAGCACTACAGCAGCTATTAAGCGAAACAACAAAATGCAAAGCACTCACCAAACTTCTTTCTTTACACGTCTATGAAGGCACTATTTCAAACTGGACTGCCTACTTTCCTAAAACCCCTTTCAAAAATATTACGACGTTAAATAAAACCATTTAGACGGCGGTTTGCGCTCGGTATAACTCTCTCACGCAAACAGCAAAACTTTCCCTCTCCTAAGTGCGATTGACTTTCCTGCCGCATACGTGGCGCTCCATAGACAGCAGCCTATGCTTCGGGACAGGAAGTGACGTTAAAAAAATTGCGCTAAACAGGCTCAAGGCGATCCGGGTGAGTGTTTTCGAGCTCAAACTACTGTAGGTGCAGGAACGCTAATTATCTTATTTCCGCTTGAATATACATGTTACGTTGTTGAAATTGAAAAGGCAGTGTGAGGTTAAATGTAAAATTATGCTTAAAACATGAAATGAAATAAACCTTGCAAGGGAATGGCTATGCAAATCAATTCAAAATTAAATTAAATTAGATTAGATTAGATAAATATTGTTGTTTCTAGGGGCAACTTTTGTGCACACAGTAGCGTCATACATTTATAGCATATAGATTCTGGAAAACAGAATATTATGAAATAAACCTTCACGGCTTCAATGCGACTGGTAACCTGGGTTCACCCCATGACAGGCAGGGTTTACAAGGCATTATAGAAAAAAATATGTAGATTTTATTTATTTAAAGAAAGCAGTAGGCCTAATAAATCAGGAAATGAAAATAGATGCATATCAAAGTATTTCAATAGGTAACACGACCTGTAGAACAAGTCAGCCACATGCCGTTGGCTACTTGCCTCACCAAATAAATTATAAAACAGACTGTAAATTACAGATTAGATGTTGTTACCAACTCAGTACCTCCTAGAAATGCATTAACTGAAGTAATTTCAGTTGCTTAGATGAAATGAATATGACTTAAACATTTTACCAAAGTCACATGTAGGACTGTTATATTTAGAACTAGTTAAAAAATAAACTGTGAAACATATTATGTTGTTAGAAATATTTTCTTTGTAACATCATAGGCCCTGAACATTTTCATCGAGCCTTTAAAAATACTCAGACCTTCCTGCACTTTATTTCACAGCCTGGATTTTGCTTTGTCTTATCATTTTCATTTGTGCGTCACAAACTAACCTAAAATGTCCACATTATATCTGAATTATATATTATATATATAATTTCATAAATACTCATGCCCTTTGGTAAATACGCAGATGAACATGAGCTGCCAGCTATTACAGCAAGTATTATCTTTGGATAATTCTCTATTACATTTGTACACCAAGATGGAGCAATAATTTCCCAATTTTTTTTCCATGCAAAATGCTACAAGATTCTTCCACAGTAATGAGCTTTTTTAGGGCAGAGTTTTGCAGTATCTGTAATGTAGTCAACTCCGCGCTGTTGAGAAGCATCCTTGTGACTTGATACTACTAGCGCCATACTTTACAGTGGGAATGGTTTTAATGGGCAGACTCAATTTGACCTGCGACACATACTACTGCCCATTTAGGCCAAAAGGCTCCACCTTAGTCTTGTAAAACTTCTGGCCACATCTTTGCAGTACTTTCTAGATGCCATTCTTGGCAAGGTAATGTTTGGCTCTCAGCCCTCCCCTGAAGGCCCTATCTGTGACCCAGGAACATTGTCCTGTTTCAGCCGCTAACTTCTGAAGCTATTTTCGCTACCACAGTAAGCCTAGCAGTAGCTTATCTATTTATCTACTCTATTTAGTAGAGACCTTTATCCAAAGTGACATACAGTCCTGGAAAAAAGGCCAAAACTTAATGTTGTGCAATAGGGTATGGCCCATTTTTTTGCCCAAGAGTGAACAACTGAGAAAGCACGGTCAGCCAGTCTCTGGAGCAATTGGGTTTAAAGGCCATCTGCAGCCAGCGTAATTGTATTTTCACTGTATTCGCTCACTCATTTGTTTTTCTTATTTCCGAAATACCTCTGACATGGGAGACGTGTTGGGGCATGGTTGGGGTGTTACACCACAGGGTACAACTTGTGTGACACACTCTGTTGTGTACTTGGTTATGCCTACAGAGTCCTGTAGGCATAACCATTCACATATACTTCAATGTACTTAATGTGCCCACAAAATACTAAATCAAGCTCACACAATCCTTAAGCTGTGCGTAGGATTTACTTTTATTGTGGTCTCAATTTGCTATTTTGAGCTCTCCTGTGGGGTCAATTTCTCATGCACTTAAGTCAACAAAGCACATGAGGAGGGGACCTTGGTGACCGAACAAAAGGGCGGACACAACAGACCAGGGACAGCAAGGAGAATTGCAGACACAACACACACCAGACCATGGATGAGTCACAACATGGGACAAGACACCAGGCAGACAAGACAGGGCACTACCAGGGCTAGGAAGTAGGCACAGGCAGAGCGAGGGATAGCAGGGACAACAAACCGGACCGACAGTGAGACAGGAACAGGGCAGACATGTGTAGGGACACCCAGGTAAGGAATACCAGGTAGGGCCACAGGGGAGAGAAAAATCAAGACAAGGCATGGGGACCAAAACAAAAGTAAGGCTCTTGGGAATGGGGTTTGGCAAGGGGGTCCCCTGGACCTCAGGAAGCAAGGCATTGACCCTGGGTCATGGACCCTCCTGTGCCTTGATGGGTTAGTGGGACTCGGCGCACGGAGAGAACTGCCAGGTCGGGCAGCGCTGAGGGACCTGTAGGACCGGAGAGCACGATTCATGAGGAACAATGTCAGTGTAGCTGTGGAGCAATGGAGCAACTCATCTCCCTCGGACAGCAACCTGCAGGACCGGAGGGCACTGAGGGTTCTGCAGGACCGATTGCAAGATCTGGACAGACAGTGATGGGCAGTCCCTGATCTAGGCAAAAGGCCTGGATTACATGTCCTTGCTTCCTCCTCTTGGGCACAGAAACTCTGCCCGCTCTTCTTCTGGGCCCCCACTTACACCACTGACCACTCCAGGCCTTCTGCCTAGACCAGGGGTGGTGTGAACAAAGGACAAAGGTAATGGTCCCCAAGGCCCCACCGAGAGGGTCCCATCCCAGGTCCTCAGGCTGGGTTTCACCCCAGTCTCTTTCCACCTAGTAGGAGCGCTGGGCATTGGACCAGCAGCAACCTGCGGAGAGTGAGACAGACATGCGGGTGATGGCTGGAGAGGAAACAGGCACTGGCGAGACATCAGGGGCTGACGGAGCAGGTGCCAGTGGGGCACAGAGTACTGATGGGACATCAGGAGACAGTGATGACACAGGTGTCCACAGTACCTCAGGAAATAGCAAAGAGTCAAGCCACTGGGACCTCAGGAGGAGACGGCAAGGTGGGAGCCAACAGGACACGCCGAGGCCCACGGGGCTGAGCCGGGACACCCTTCCCTGGGCCAGTTCCCTGGGGACGCCACAGGCACTGACAGGCCTCACCGGGGCCGGTGCTTGCAGAGCAGCAGTAGTGAGGAGAGCAAGCTTGGGGTCAGACTCAGAGTCGGGCCGGGAAGGATGAGATCTTGTGCAGGTTCAGCTTACTTTTAAAACCTTTGCTTCATTGAGCAGGAGCTGACAGAGTGTCAGGGAGGCAGCAGGCAGAACGGCAGGTGTCTCCCCTTTGAGTTGCAGAAAGTCACTGGGGACATCCGTTTGTGAGCTGAGCTGCCTTGTGCAGTTGTAATAATTAATAACTATTATAGACAAAGTTACCATGAAAATCAAAGGTGTGGGCATTGTCCCCCAGAGGCCACTGATCAAAGTGCACTTCATAGGACATGCTTGTTTCATTTGGTTTTAGAGTTATTAAACCATTTGTGCATTGCCCCATTTCATATTACATGTATACAATATAATAATGACTATTACAGACAAAGGTAAGCGAAAAATCCAAGAAGTGAGCATTGTTTCCTAGACTTCATGGATTAATGCACATTTTCCTAATGGTGCCTATCTTGTTTAGTTTCAGAGCTATTGACCTATTAGTATGTTGCCCGAATGGCATATAATATGAGTAAAATGTATTAATCGATAACTGTCACAAAGTCACCCTGAAAATTCAAGGGGTGTGCATTGCCCCCCAGAGGCTACTGATCACAGTACACCATACAGAACATGCTTGTCTCATTTGGTTTTATAACTATGTACCCATTAGTGTGTCACCCCAATGCAATATAATAATTAATAACTATTATAGACAAAGTTAC